ATAGTGCCTCAATTTTAAATTGAGAATGTGGCATCTACTGTGACAGGGTTCTGGGTATCAGCAAGTGCTTATAATGCTTTTAAGGCACTAAGTAAGTCTGTATATATTTCAAACTTTTTCTGGCTTAACATGGATATGAATGAGAGGGCACAATATAGCAGTCAAATCAGATGCGAGGACTAAGCAAGCGTTATGCAATCGTCTGCCTACCATGCGGTCTCCAATAATGAAAGATATACCAACATGTCCAGCTGCTTTTGATCCATCATAAATACAGGAATATAATTATTGTAGTTTTGTGTTCAACAAGAAGCTGCCTGTACCCCAACTCGTTAGTATATCTTTTGCCAACATTTTGGAAAATATCAAGGAGCTGAAACTGAATATTTTCCCAAGGTGGTATTGCAAAATGCTTACTGCCTGGGTGCTCAAATGTGTCGTTTGATGTTTTTCAAGTAGTGAGCGAACCTTCAGGGAAAAATAAGGCACAGAAGAAGGTCGAGCATTAAGCAGACGCTCACACATATCATCTAACAGATTCATCTTACAAGGATGACCATGTAGTGATCATATCTTAAAATAGTAGCTGAGAGATAACTACTCAAGCTATAACTTAAGTGAAGATTCATAGCAATCTACATATAGGCTTTGAAGTGGAGAAGATCTGAAAGCTCGAGAAGAAATCCGCAATGCCTAATGGTGAACCGAATCTAATCTCAATAGCACATAAGGACGTGCTGATCCACAGACAACTGAGCCGTAGTCCAATTTAGAGCAGACGAGGGCTCTGTAAATATGGAGCATTGAGCCACGTTCTGCACTCAGGTGGAATTCCCCAAAACCTTTAATATATTTAATATCTTAAAATACTTCTTCCTCAAATATTGAACATGTAGAAGGAAAGTCAGCTTTCGGTCGAATACCAACCCTAAAAAATTTATTTCAGGTACAACTAGAATTTGTGAACATTTGAGATGAAGCCATGTAGACCATGTAGCCGGTTCGATTCCCGGCGAAGGCGTTGCTCATTTTTCATCTCTCCTGCTTCCAAAAAATACCTAATGTCTCTACAGTACAATACATTAGAAGAGAACGTTTCAGCATCTCCTTTTAAGTAGTAGTAGCATGAAAGTAAGAGATACAATATTCCAACTAAACTATATAGAATGAACATCATGCGTATTGGTTTAGTCGATTTCAAATCTTGGAAAATATTATTCACGAAGGCGTCTAGAGGGAGATTGATATGCATGTAAATTCCAGTTTCAATTTCGTAGACATGTATGTAAGTTTACTTTCGGAGAAATGGAAATGTAGTATCAATGAAATTTAGGGGAAAAAGTTAAGAGTAAAATAAAAATGTGAAAAGAAACTTTTTAAAAGAATAAAAATTTTAGATTTGTAAAAAGGAGAAAGAAAAGAGTTAAAATTTGCTTTAAAGTAAATAACAGAAATAAATAAAATAAAATAAAAATTGCGTTTGTTAAAACAGAAAAGAGAATAAAAATCAAACTTATGAAATTAAATATTATTGTTGTAAAATATATAAACTGAATAATGTAAAAAGGGCTTTTTTAAAATACAAAACCAAAAGGGAAATTTAAATTTGTGACCACAAATATTACTTTTAACAAAATAAAAAAATCTGATGCAGAGACCACATGACTTTCCTGTACGAAATATTAAATTGTACGCATTTTTTGCTGTATTTCATTTAAACTTATTTCCTTGAATTTCATTAGAGATATATTTTTCATTCAGTTCTCACTCCGCGGCAAGGCAAAAATACATAAAACCTCAAAATATCTTTATTAAAATTAAAAAATATAGAAACACATAAAACACGAAATACAGTTAAAACGATAAAAAAAATTACAATTGAAATTAGAGTTTCTACATAAAAATAAGCAATTCCGCCTGCGGGCGAAAAGGCTGATTTTTCAGTGCACAAAACTAAAGTTTGCTTTTGGTTCCACTCGGAAAAAGGACACTGAAGGTGCAGAAGCTGACTTAATTCACTATTCTGCTAAGTTTCAAATGTAAACAAATATGGCTGCTATGGTAAAAAAATAAGCTTAGCCGCACTTAAACACTTTTAAATTGTTAATAATTCTACAACTATTGCATGCAAATTAACTAAAGGCATAAAAACTTTAACCGGAAAAGAAAAACATAATTCAGTCATTTTAAAGCAAAAAATGCATAATTTACAAACATAAAAGAATAATAATAATAAAAAAAAAAAACTGAGCTCACCGAGCCGAGTAAAAGAGTGGCTCTCTCTCTCTCTGTATGTATATATATATACATACAGAGGAAGGAAATATATATATATATATATATATATATATACACTTTTAGTGCAGCGGCCGATTGCAACCAAAAAGGGAGGTGCACAAGTACGTGTTATAGCAGTCCTATATACGAAATGTCAACGTTCTAAGGCTACTCGTTTTTGAGTTATGCTAAATACGTACGTACAGACGTCACAAAAATTCTCTTCTGAAACCATTTTAGATCCATTTTGGGAAAACGAATCCTTTGTTCTGTCCTTACGAACAGACGTCACACAAAAACATCGTTAAGTTACATTTGATAGCGGTCAAAATGAATATTTTCGTTCAAATATGATACCCGAAAATTTTTGCGATTACAATATTTGATTTACTTCGTACAAGGAAGTATAAAAGTGAAACTTAAAAAGTTTTTTAAGGTAAAAATATGAAAAAATAAAGATCTGGGAAACGTACTTTTGTAAAATAAAAAAGTTCAAATAAATGTAAAAAGTAAATCTACTTTTGTTGAAATAAAAATTACTTTGCGAAAATTTAAAGTATGCATGTGTTACCACTTAAACCTGGAGAGCACACAATGGGAAAGGCTAAAATTCCTTAGATATGTACTGACGCAAAGAGAACTAATATCCTTCGAAGTAATACTTTTAAATGAAAATGACGCATCGCATACAATGAATCTCAGGAGGCACGAAGGACTTTAATTAATAAGACGTTATATCGTCCTTTATGTTTTCTGTCCTATCGTGTGAATTTCTCTTGTTTGTAGCTAAAAAAATGGTCATTTTAAAGGTCAAGTGAAATTTTATCTCAGACTGGCCTTGATACATAAACGTTTAAATAAAGGACATAAATATCTTGAAACGTCTAAAAAGTACAATCTGAGTTTTTCATCATTGGGATCAGTTATTCTGCTCCTGAATTACTGCTTCATTACTTTAAGTACAACCTTTATGCTTTGACAAAATATATTTATTGGTTCTAAGGGCTCGTTTGTATTCAAATTGAGGTTTCTAGAGTTCTACTTGCTTTTTAAACGTACATTAAATAAAAATTTATTTGAAAACATCCAATCTAATGTTGCATTTTTTAAATTGACATATTTCTCTTACATTTCTTAATAAAACACCAGAGTGAAATACACTACCCGACAATGAAAATGCAATACCAAGAAGGGGAAGCCAGAAAGTGATGAAACTCGCCAGATAGAGAGAGACAGTCGAACAATAAATAATTTCTATTTCGAAATGATATACATAATACAGAACGAGAACAGCGTCGGCTCAGTAGGTTGTAGAACCACCTTGGAGGGCGATACACGAAGCAACACATCTAGGTACAGAGTTAGTAAGACTACGGATGGTGTCCTGAGTGAATGGGTCTCTATTCCCAGTCAACCTTTTGCCATAGTTCGTCGTCTGAACGTGGCAATGGCAGGGTCTTCAAATGGCGTCAAATCACATCCCAGATATGTTCGATTGGTGAAAGATCAGGAGAGAACGGTGGCCAGGTAAGCATCTGCACACCTTGAAAAGCACGTTGGCTGACGCGAGCAGTGTGTGGTCGAGCGTTACCTGCTGATAAAAAGCATTGGGCACTCCCTGAAGGTAGGGGAGTGTCGGCAGCAGTACATCATCCACGTATCGTTTGGCAGTCATAGTGTCCTGAATACGAACTAGAGGTGATCTGGAATCGTACGCAATTGTGCCACAAATCATGATGCCGCGTTCCACAATTGCTGCCGGATTGGACCTGTCTCCACATCGATGCCAGACTCGTACGCAGCGACTATCATTGAAGAAACAGAAGCGTGGCTCATCTGAGAACACGACCCTGTGTTCGTCGTCCACATTACTCGAGCCTGCCACCATTACGGACGTTGGCTTCTATAATGTGGGGTCAATAGCAGTCTTCTTAATGGACGCCACGAATGCAGGGCACTAGCCACCAATCGACGGCAAATGGTTCTGGTCGATATGGGAAAATCCAGGGTGTCTTTGCTGCAGAATGGAGGTAGAAGTGGCTTGCGGGTCGATCCACGCGTGCTGACGTGTGCTACGTCGATCCTCAGACTGGACCTGACTTCACTCAGGCTGGACCAGCACCCCTCGAACTTGCCAAATTTCCTTGTCGCAACCGTCGTCGCCCCAGCCGGTACACTCTGGACGCGTCCAGGTATGTGTCAGCTGAGATTTGCTGTATAGACCAACCTGCCCTTCTCAGTCGATACCACGTTAAATCGTCTTTCTTCTAGAACTGCCTCAGTTGACGAAGGGCTGATATTCTCTGCTATTAAACCTATAGATCTCTGAGACAAGAAAACAAATTTTACGATGGTTCCCCTAGCAGAAATAATGACACGAAAACTGAACATTCTGCAGATTCCTTCCTTTTTATCTTTTCCAAAGTACGCTGGAGAGCTGCTCATTTCACATCATTCTCATAACTCATTGAGGTGTGTCTACCCTGAAATTTGCATAATTTTCGGGCCACTCCTTCTTGGTGTTGCATTTTCAATGTCGGATACTGTATTATAAATGAGAATAAAGTTACAGAACTAAAAATGTAATGATGTAATGCCACACGGAAGCAGAAGAAATATGGATTTCTAGTATTCTTCTTAAAATCCAAGTCAAAGGATAGGAAGTTCCCATCTGTAAAGGTACCTATCAAGTTCTAAAATTAAAAGTGCTTCGATTCCTTTAGACTACGTCGAAGACGAATGTGTTTCTCCCAACAAATTCCAGAAAATTTTCTTCAGACTTCCAGCATCCGGGCCTGATTCAGTGGGAGAACTGCGTTCGAATCGCTTTGGAACTTACTCCAGAACAGGAAGAAATTGCCTCATCAAACTCAAACCTCCGAAAGGGCATGGCATCATCATAACAGTGCTTAAAGTTGATTTCAGGAATCACAACAGTTGCAAGGACTATATCAAAGTAAGTCAATTTTCAGAATTAATTTTTTAGAAATAGTTTGAAAATGTAATAGATTAAATACTTAAAAAAAAGCTGCAATTTTTTAAATATATATGTTTGAATATGTGTCAGATATAAATTCTTAATTTCGAAGAAAGTAATTAATTAAAATTTTAAAATAAAATATTAGTTACATTGCGGAGATGTTAGAGCACTAGCACTTCAGTCAACTTGGATATAAAACTATTGTTAATAATATGGTCTTATATGTACAGAATATTCAATATGCAAATTGCTATTCAACATCAACATTTATATTAATTTTTTATATTACCAATATTGATGAGTAGTAGATAGGATGGACACTGTTATTAATCTCATTTTTAAATTTCTACTTTAATAAGTGAGGGAACAACTAAATACGCTCAAGAGTATGCCATGGGAAATCCTTAACTTTTGACCTCGTTATAGGCATTTCCAGCAATGCAATTATTTACAGCTTTAACTGCAAGGATTTCCGATTGGAAGTACTTCCAATTTCCTAGTTTCAGCTGCAAAATGTTCAGTTTAATCCCTACAGGATGTCTATATGTCTATTCAAAATTTTGATACTTCTTCAGAAAAGCACTAAAAAAGGGGACTAACAATAATACAAAAAATTATTTTATGTTTGTTACACTTTTCTGAACATAGGTGTGCACAGAACGCTGGATATTTGCTTGTAGAAAATTTCACAGTAGAACGATTGAAGATTATTTAAGTGGGTTTCAGAAGTTTTATCTTTCTGAAGTAATGCTTAACAAATCGTTATCAGGTTTGATTTCACTATACATGCAATTTTTTACATTTTAAGCTTTAAAGGGTATTTTGTAAAGTATAGCTGTTGAAACTCTATTGAATATCGGTAACAAAAAAATTAGGCAAATGATATTGTAACACTAGTATCGATACGTTATTCAGTATGACAGGGGAGAAACTATTAAGCAGCTATAGTTCGAAGTTTTAAAAGACTTTCAGTTTCATCTAATTATGTTAGAAATAGCCATTAAATTAAACACTCATGGGCAATGGCCGCAAATGTTTTACTTAATAACGGATTTTTTTGTTAAAAAAAGAAATATTAAAGGAAATATTAATATATATGTTTTTTCAAATCTAAAATGTTTATTTCTTTTCTGCGAATTGCGTCTTTGCAGTCAGTGTCAAGTTGATTACATCATCACTCCTCACTTCCTGTTTCAGGACAGAAAGTTCTGTGAAACACCCCTTCTGTTCTAAATTCTGGTGCAATCTCTGAGACCATACCGGAGGCAGAAATTAGAGGCGGCAAAATTTTGACAGCACCCGGTGGCAGAATTTGGGAGAAACAGAGATTGCACCGGAAGAAAAAAAATCCTTGCTTCGGGCTCGGCTCTTAAGTCAGTGCAAGTCGGATTTGAACATAGATAATTGTAGAATATAGAGTTACGTCATAGTCATGTCTTGGGTCACATTCGTGTGACCAGCATCACTATATGAGATAGAAAAGACAATCCTAAAGTCTTTTCTTAAACGACTTGTCGTTTCAATCTGATTTGAATTTAATTATGTATTTCCAGTTAAATCTGATACTAAATACTGACTTGTAATTCGGCTGATGTGTGCCTTCTGATCAACAGAGCTTCTCAAGATACTTGTCATAAGGGAACAGGAAGCAGTTTCCTCTCCTTTCGTAACAGTGCGAGGACTGTCACTTATATTGGCAATCTTCAGCGGCATGTTTTCTTTTGCTAAGTTTGATAAGACAAATAATGTATTTAATCACTAAATATTTGAAGTAAAGAATATTATTACCAGAAACTTAATGTTACTTAAATTGTACTTAATTGTACTTATATTTTTTAGCCATCTCCCTCAGTATCTTTTATATTTAAAGAAAAGATAGATACTTCAAAAATCATAATAACCTTTCTTTTTTTAATCTTACACTGATTACTGATAGCACACTGAGGAAAATCTTAAAAGAATTTTAAAAATAGATGATGTTATTCACATTTGGTATTCATAAGGCATAAATTTTCAGCATAATTGTGTTTTACTTTAATTGAAAGCGCATTACTTCAGAAATATTAATTTTTTTAAATGTAGAACTTGGAGACATTTCAGGTTATAGATATAAAGGATCACATAGAAACACTACAGATCGAAATTTAGTACTTAATAGGCATACTGACTTTTTTACGTAAAAATCACTTTATTTATGTCTTTTCCTATGAGCATAATTTTCTCTATGTTCTAGTATATTTAAATTTGTAATAAATCAATTTTAATGGATGAACCTTCATCATACAGTTTATATGTATAACCATATTTAGGGAGCGATCAAATTATACGACACTAAAATGAACTATAAGAAAACACCCTGAAATTGCTTTGGTTAAATGCTGAAGGGCCTATAAACGTCCTCCTACAGCGCCAAACGGGTGAATGGAATGCAACGAAGTTTTGCGCTCACGGAATTTCGAAAAAAAAAAAAAAAAAAAAAGTTCCAAATTGTCCACCAGAGAGTGCCTTATCGAGAAAAGCATGAAATTTAACACAATAAACGACCAAAACGGAATACAGAAACAATATTAACATTTATTGACTAGTTTCTGCTCAGTTTATCATCGAACCACATTAAGTTAAGGTAAGGGAGAAACAAAAACAATTCAGTTTGCCGAAACGACAACAGATTAGGACGAAATTGTACAAGAGGAGCAGTTGTTAATCGTGTCGAAGACGATGTAGGGAAAGGTGCTCCACGTGACCACCCTCATTCACCTGCAAAATTTCAAGTCGATGGACAGTGTGTTCAACAGCAGATCATAACTGATCAGCTGTGAGGCTTCGCAAATGAAGCGTTATGGAGTTCTTTAAGTCATTCAATGTCGCAACAACTCCACGATACATCAGACTTTTTATATAGCCCCATAGCCAGAAATCGCACGGAGTTAGATCCGGCGAACGTTGTGGCAATGGATTAGGAAAAGAAGGACTAATAACACATTCCTCTGTGAAGTGTTGGAACAATAGCGCCTTCACGGACACATAGATATGTGGGGGGCGCACCATTCTGCATGAAAATGGTCGATGTAAGAAAACGCCTCTGCTGTAGTTGCGGCACAACAAACGTCTGCAGCATGTCATGATACCGACGGCCCGTAACGAAACGTGTGACAGGCCCACGTTCACCGATTTACTCAAAGAAGAACGGCCAAGGATGTCGCCGTGAATCCACACCAGGCAGTGATCTTTCGAAACTGTAGGAGAATGTCAGTGTGGGTCTGCGGATTTTCCTTAGCCCAAATGCGGCAATTTTGTGTGTTGACTGTCCCATTGAGGTAGAAATGAGCCTCGTCGCTCCACAGAATATTCCAAGGCCATGACAGATCAACAGTCATTTTGTTGAGAAAACTGACTGCGAACAAGGGACGTTGTGGCTTGTTCCTATCAAGCAGCTCATGGGTATTCGGATCTTGTATGGGAAGTAGTGCATTATGTTTCTGAGTAATTTTCGGAAGGTGCTGTAAGAATAGCCTGTCTGTCAAGAAAGTGCATGTGCGCTACTGCCCCCAAACTCTAATGTCTCTGACTGTGCGTCAACAGCTCTCTTAAGGGCATCAATAAGAACCGGTGTGACAGGTTTACGACTCTTCCAGGTTGAATTCCTAATTTCCCCGTCTCTTAATCATGGTGCGAATACCTTTAGTAGACATTGGTCCCCGCCGTAGGTTCTTTCTACGACGAAATTCACGAACTACAGCAGAAGCATTCCCCTTGTTTTCGTAAAACAACTTCACCAGTAACACACGTTCAACTAAAGAGACCGTCATTAGTACAGCCGGAAACATCGACTTAAACATAACAACGTCTGCCTTAGCCTATGCCTTAGCCTTTTATGCCTTAGCCTGTTTTGCATAAAGCTTCCTCTTCTTCCCAAGCATGCAAATATCGACATTTTTCTCCTACAACTGACAGTTTTTTCCCGATTTTGCATACTATTACTCATAATTCTTAATATTTTTTCTGTATTCCGTTTTCGTTGTTTATTGTGTTAAATTTCACGTTTTTCCCAATAAAGCGCACTCTGGTGGTCAATTTGGAACTACTTTTTTTTTTTTTTTCAAAATTTCGTGAGCGCATCTCGTGTACAGCCCATATACAAAATTTCGTTGTATTACGTTCACCCGTTTGCGCTGTAGGATACCGTTTATAGAGGAAGTTTAATTATAACCACCGGGTATGTTACATGATTAATTTTTCCTGCTCACAATTCCATTGGTTATATTAGAGATTCTCAACCTTTTTCTTGCATGGACCAATTTTAAAGCAATTGTTTTTATTCATGGATCCCCTACACTTTTTCCTCTAATACTGTTGCGAAATGCCCAGCTGCGGTAAGATAGCTTCCCCGCGAAGCGGGATTAGGGTTTCCGGAAAGTGGCAGAGAAACGCAGGGTTGCTGGATTTTAAGCGAGATCTCCTGTTTGGCGACAAAACTGGTCACATGCCAGAGACGGAGCGAGAACATTTTAGAAGCATTCTTAGCGAGTTTCCTCGGGAATGTTCTCGAAGATAGGTTAAAACAGTAGTAGTGCTTTGAGCTTTGAGATTAACTTGAGAGCGACCGAACTGTGTCGAGAGCTGTACTTTAGTGCTTTGCCGTGAAGCTGTCTTCACCGTAGCAGCCTGAAGGCTGTATTTCTGATTGTGTCAGCGTGTTTATCGTAGTACTATTTCGACGACTATAAACGTGTCTTTGGAATTCTCCTGCCTAATACTGGCGAATAAATTGTGTTTTGATTCTTCATCAAATGTTATCATCAATTACTCCAAATCACCGAACCCGTAGAACGCAACAACATAAAGTATGCAACATAGTCATAATACTGTTGCGTGCATACGGGTTTGTAATGAATTGAATGCACAAAAGCAAAATGCTTAAATTTCCTCTGATATTCATACAATATTGCTATATCTCACAGTAGTTATCTTTTAAACTAATCAAACGTTCAACAGAACTTAATTCAAAACAGAGAAACATAGAGAAAGCTAATCCAATCTCGCCGCGAATTCGCTACAGTAAACCACAACAGTTTTCTAAACAAAACTGAGCTGAGATTTTCTCTCTTTGGCTATTATAGCTTTTTTAATCGGCCGCACGAGATTGTTCTAGTAATTTCTCGAAAGCAAAAAAAGTAGAATTACGGTTACGGCTAGTCAATTAACATTTATTCGAATTAAATATAAATTAAAAGAGATATTTATTTATTAAATCCGCGTGCTCCTGCATTTTTAATTTTTCCGGCGTAGCTTTCTCTTCAAATAAGTCTCGTGTATTGCACGGTAATATAAAACAATTTTTATTAATTCTATTTAAAAATAGCTATTTCAATACAAAAACCATGACAATACAAAAAATTGCACATAAATAACTTAAAGATAGCAATTAGATTAAGAATATGATCAAAAGTTTTTAAAAAAATTGTTAATTAAATTTATATTTTATAAGGTATTTACCCCGCCTTGGCATGCCTTCTTTGTGTGGTGGTCTGCACGCTGGACGCGTATTCCAGAGGTCCGCGGTTCGATTCCCGGAGAAGGCGTTTGCTAAGTTTTCATCTTTCCTGCTTCAAAAAATACCTAATGTCTCTACAGTGGCGCCCGAACTAAAAAGGGTGTTGGATGATGATTCTCCACACACAGGATTTGGCGACTGGGTCCCCTAAAAAAACCCCAGTCGCCCTTTAAAAGAGGGAGTATATAAGGTATTTCTCTCGCCTTCTTGGGGTGTCTTAGTAGTGTGGTTGTCTGCACGCTGGCAGCGTATTCCAGAGGTCCGCGGTTCGATTTCCGGCAAAGGCGTTTGCTAATTTTTCATCTCTCCTGCTTCCGAAATAAACCTAATGACTCTACAGTTTAATTATTTTTGTATTATTATTATTTTTTAATTTTGTAAACATAAAGAGATTGCGGAGATTCATTTATTTTTAGTAACAGTTAATTTTCAGTTAAAGCAAATTTCTTTTCAGTCTCGTTTTCACACACGCTTTCCTGCCATAATGCTCATCAGCTAGCGCGAGTGTATTGAAACTGAGGTAGAAAAAAGTTCCAATTAAGCTAAGGTTTTGAAGATGACTTGAGAGCGTGTTATGCCTCTTTGAAGTCACGGTGCTATTTTGAATTACTAGGGATTTGTTTCCAGCCGGTTTTTTTTTTCTAGTTGCTTCTAGCCATTAAGCATTAAGCTTGTTTCTCCCGGCTTCTACGAGCCAGAGCCATCCTACGTGTTAAATTATCATGAGAGCCGTTAGGCTAGATTTACTATATTTTTTTTAAAGTTCATCGTTACCTATGCATAGAATAGTTTAAGATAAGCCAGGAGTCTGGCTTTGGGGCAGCCCAAGTGGGGCCCTCTATTAAAATTATATTGAGTGAATAAAGGGTTCTTTACACCCTTCTTTTGACTTACTGTTGTATTTAAAGACCTAGGGATAATTCCTCAGACAGTCTATTTAGAGCTCGTTAGCTTTTGCTCCCAAAGAGGATGAGACTGTATAAAGTAAGAAAAAGGAAGAGGGAAAAAAAAAACAAAAAAAAAAAAAAAAAAGAATCTAACTGCACAAAAGTTTGATTTTAATGTGATGGCTTCGCTTGATTTACTGACGCAATATTTTTAATATTTGCCATGAAATTGCTTAATTTTATTTTTAAATCAGCTTGTTCAATCTGTTTCTTGTTTTCCATTCCAGTTTTGAGTTTATCGTTTATTTTTTTTTTTTTTTTTTTTTTTTCCAAGGTGTGCAATGTAAGAAAGTAAAACGCAAGAACACAAGAAAACACAGTATAAAAAAAAAAAAAAAAAAAAAAAAAAAAAAAAAACCTGCCGCCCAGATAGTTATAGTGTTTAGCGGAGCCGACTGAAGGGCCCGGGTTCAAATCTCAGAGAAGGCGTGGTTGTAACTGTCCGTCTCTTCATAGGAGGTAATGTTGGCCTTCTCTTAAGTACCCCCGCAATAAAACGGCCACCACGTCCCGCCTTAGGAGTTGATAATGACGAAAAAAAAAATAGTGCCCGCCGTTTTATGAAAAAATAAAGAATTACGTACTTAAAAAAGTTATTAATTTAAAAAATAAATTAAATAATTTTAATGTATTTCCCCCCTATATCTATCTTACATGATTTCTTTCCTTAATATACTGTACAGCTTTATACCAATAAATACTAATTTAAAATTTTATTGTTATTATTATTATTATTCTGCAATCAGTGGGATCTTGGCCAATCAATTGTCGGTGCATATTCGGCTCTCTACCTTCGACGAACCCTTGATCATCTATGACCCTCTTCAAGATATCACCGACTCCCAGGGCGTCAATACCGACCACATCGGAAACCCCCTAGGCTAAATGCAGACGCTCGTGTCTTTGTCTAATTTTCGTCCGCGACGTGCCTTTCATTCTCCAGTTGACTTCGTCAACATAATCGTGTGGAAGCAAATTTTAAGATAGTGGTAGGCCATTTATGTGACATTCGCCAACAAGAGCTATGGTGTCAAATGTACATAATCTTCGTATTTTAAAACTGTTTAAAGAAGAGCAGTTTCTTAAACGAAACTTTAGTATGACAAATATTGTTAAAAATACGGTAAATGCTTAAAAGTCAACAGACTATGTCTGCTATGATATTGCTATTCCAAGTGTTTGTGGATAACACATGTTTGTAACTTTTGGCTCGTAACGTATGCTCATTATTAATAATCTATGCACTTTTCTTCTCGCTAAAAACTGCTACGTACATCTGTTTTCTTACTGGATTAGATTGCAGTTCCTCTTATTACTCCATTCACACATAATTAATTCCTTTTCTTAATAATTTATTTTATAAAAATAAATCTAAAAATCTTTTTATATTTACCAGATCTTTGAGAGTGATGATGATGGTGAGAAACTGTGTGGTTATCAGGAACTAGGACTTAATGGAAAAACATTTTTCTCTGATGATGGTATTAATATTCTCTACCATACATCTGAAGGAGGAATGGGTTTTAACGATGGCTTCAAACTCATATTCACAGTAACTAAGTTAGGTAAGTATCATGTTGCTCATTTTTAGAATTAATTTTATAAGGTTTGGCATATTATTCTCAAATAATGTAGAGATAAAAGAGAATTCGCAACTGTAAAATAAGAATATGCATATTTATACAAGCTTGGTAGTCACCATCTCCATAGTCCCACAGTCCTAAAGAGGAGAAGGAAAAATCTCAGTTACTAGCACAGGACGCTTTGGCTCTCCTGCCTGTGAAGCTCGAGAAATGTTTGGCTTGCCTATCAAAAGTAGAACATAAGTAGTTTTATGGGCAGTTCCTGACGAAATTACGGGTTCGAATCCCGGCGAACGGGCTAGCTGCATGAGCGTTTTCGTGGTTTTCGCCATATGTAGCGTGTATACGAGCCAGTTTCTTTAGAAAGTCCTCCACTAAGGCAGCCCTCCCCTTAGGTAGATAGCCCTCGAGTGCTTTGTGTGCTAGAGTCATTACGCTCAGCTACCCTCAGCCGGTCTAGAGTCATTTTAAAGCCTTGCCGCTTAGCCGGTATAGTGGTTAGTGACTCTGACTGCCGTAGCGATGGGCCTAAGTTCGAATCCCGGAGAAGGAATAGTTGTAACTGTCCTTTCATACAAGACATCGGTGGCCACTTATTAAGTGCTTCCATAATGAAACGGGCACCACTTCCGGCCCTTGTAGTGGTGCAAGGATAATGGCTATTAAATAAAGCGTCCGGCCATCAGGGAAAAAATTATAAAGCATTTTCACTTAAAATGCATGTTATTATACCTTTTAAGTCGAAAATATTGTGCCCAGTGAGCAATAAGATAACGCTAAAAACGATGCAATGAGCGGTAAAAGTAATAACCTCAAGTCTTCGGGCGACGAAAGTGGTCGTATTCAGAGGAGCCTGGATAACCACACAGTAGAGTTGGCTGGGAGTAACCAGAAATGACGTCACCGTCGACATCTTGAAATCTTGTAACAAGTAGAATTGACGTAGCCGCTTTTGAATGACGTAATGTATGGTATTTTTATTTTTATTTAAAATTTACATGCATATAATTTCACTCTGCAGGTCTTCATGGACAACATTTTCTGAATCTTAAAATCGACTGAAACCAATATATACAGTGTTCATTCTACACAGTTTACTTCGAATACTAAGCTCCATACAACGTACACTCATGTCCATAAATTAAGGATAATTCGGAGTCACGCGGAAGTCCAACTCTAAAATAAATATCTCACCTGTAAAATCACTACACACATCTTCAAAAATAATATGCAAATTTCAGGAAGTAACCAGATGACACCGATGGTACGTCACAATGACAAGAGTGTAAGAGAGTGATATATAAGGAATACAGGCAAAGAAGTAAAATTGTTTGCAGGCGCTTTATAAGCATTTCAGTGCAATAACCGAATAGTTATGACACAAAGGACGCATATGGATGATTTTTACGTGGTAGAATTATCGGCCATCTGGAATGTGGACGTACTCAACTGGAAGTATCAGACGAACTTGGAACTGCCCAGAGTGTCATCTCCAGGCTTTGGCAACGATTCCAAGATGATGATAATGTGAATAGACGTTACAGCACAGGTCGCCCCAGAGTTACAACGCCGAGTGAGGACCGGAATTTGGCAGTTACTGCCAAAAGAAACAGGCGGAGCACAGCCTCAGACCTGTCTTGTCAGCTCTCTTCAGCCACTGGTACGACAATTTCAAGGCAGACCGTGTACAGACGCTTAGGGCAGATTGGTCTATATGCTCGTAAACCTGTCAGATGCGTTCCACTGAAACTCACTGTCGCCTGCGGTTAGCCTGGAGTAGAGAGCATGCATTGTGGACACAGCAACAGTGGGCTTGTGTGATGTTGTCCGACCAGTCCAGGTTTAGCTTGCAGTCTGATTCTCGCCGGACTTTCATATGGAGAGCTCCAGGTACCCGTTACTACCAAGAAAACATCATTGAACGACATCGTTACGGTGGTGCAGGAGTGCTCGTTTGGGGTGGAATTATTCTGGGTTCTAGAACTGACCCGCATGTTCAAATTGGAACCATGACAAGCCAAATCTATCGGGACGTCGTTCTGGAACGACATGTACGTTTGTTTCGGGGCGCCATGGGAGCACAGTTTGTGTTTATGGATGACGACGCCCGTCCTCACCGTGCAAACATCGTAAGCGAATGCCTTCAATCGGAGGATATCACCCGTATAGACTGGCCAGCATTCTCACCGGACTTGAATCCAGTAGAGCACGTGTGGGACATGCTTGGCCGACGAGTTGCAGCCCGTCAACCTCCTCTTAAATGTCTACCGGAAGTTCGGAGAGCATTGCTTTTTGAGTGGTGTAATATCCCCCAAGATCAGATCGATAATTTGATACTCAGCATGCCTAGGCGTTGTACGGACTGTATTGCATCGTCTGGGAGACATACAATGTATTAACAATCATACAAACCATGTTATATTATTTTTTGTAAATAGGTGTTAATTTGCTCCAGGGAGAAAAAATCGCTAATTTTTTTAATAATATCAAACATATAGCATCATTTTTTGCTCTTTACCTTTTGTTTAATAAATAAGCTTTACAAATAAGACAAATTTGTTTTGCTTCTAACTCTTCCTTTGCCTGATTTTAAATTATCCCTAATTTATGGACATGAGTGTATTTATACCACCGGCATGTAATCGGAGATATTCAGAACATTTATCTTCTAATGTATTGTACTAAGTACTAATACTTTATCAGGACTTGTATTCCTCTTGACTTGCTTTGGAAACATGAATTGTCCTGACTCGGAACAGGGAGCTTACTCAAGCTATGTTCAAGAAATTGTGAAGTAGACAATACAAGCAGGAAGGGTATACGAAACCCTTTATTTTTCCATCTTTACAGATATTTCCGGAACTTCGGAATACAGAGACCAACCACTTGTGGTCTGAACGTAAGAATATAAAAACTACTAACTAAAACTCTAATTAAAACTAACTTTGTACTAGTATACAAGTGCCTAGCATTAAGATTGGCCGTTATTTAACAAAGTCCGTATGTAGTACGCCGAGCTGCTAAAACTACGATACGTTTTGCAATTATCAAGAGGACTAAACCTCTGGCCTTGAAGACAAACAGCAACCGAGTGAAAACTCGTAAAACGACAATGGCAAGCGGCCTGCTTCCAATAACTCCTTCCTCTCTCTTGCTTGGCAAAAACCACAACTTAAGTACTTGGCGTTAGCAAGACAAATTTGCATAAATAAGTTAAAGCTTTTAATTCTGGCCGGAAGTAGAAAATAAGAAGTGATAGTAAAGATTTGAAATAAAGTAAACGTTAGTAAAACTTAGGATCCTTACAACTTGTACTAACATTATAAAATATACAAAACACCACGAATTCTCTTTTAGATTTCTTATTTTAACCTTTTTTCTTATTTACATTTTCTTATTTTACATTTATTACACTATGTGTAGCAACTGCAAATTTTACATTTTCTACTTTCTATTTACACACTTTCCCTTATATTAAATTTTATCCTCCTTTTAAAATACATTCATGTTATATTTCTGATTATTTTTCCTAATAAAACAATGCAGACTTACACTAGTTTCTCTATTTTAAGATCGATTTATTTTGAATCAAACCTTATAATACAGAAAAAATAATTTTTCATGGCATACAGTCTATACTGATACCAATACGTGGGCATTTCTAGCCACTTTAGTTCAAATACGTACGAAAAAATATTGAATTTCTTATTTTATGTCCCATATATGTATGTAAATTTACTCAGAATACTTTCTTTTACTCCGCACAAGGGTTCATTTACACTACTAACACATATTTTGCAAGCTCCTTAAAACGGCTTACGAAAATATCTTGGAATTTCTTGTATACAACTTACCTTATGCCACAAAACATATGGTAAACCTTGATTTTACTCTCGTGAAAACTTTATTTGGATCCTTCATATGATTACCTCACCCATAGCTCAGCTTCATAACAATAACTGTATTCGAACGTATCAGTAAAGATCCCTTCCTTATTTCAATATAATGAATATTGAATCTTGTAGGAAGAATAAAGCTAATTTTTCAGAATAAACAAAAAACTTTTATTTAAATTTTAAAACAGAACCAAAAAAATAAATATTGCAGCTCTTAACTATCAAAATTTTAAACTCTTAACTACTGCAGTTGAAACTCTTACAACTATTAAAATATTCAAAAATCCTAAACTCTCTAAAAAATATATATATATAAATCTTTCGAATCCTCTTCTTTCTTCTTGTTGCCACACCGTAAAATGCAAGTTCTTGTCCTATTATTTATATTTCACGTTCTCTTTAAGTCACGATCTTCACAAGTCCTGATCTTTACAAGTCACTTTACAAGTCATCTTTACAAATCACGTCCCCCCACAACAAACCCCCCACAAAAGCACATTCGTCACCGTAGAGACAATGCTGCTCAGAGTTCATTGAGAGAGAAAGAGTTAATTGCTAACCTTGACAAAGCATCAGCATTCCCATGTGAACTTCCTTTGCGGTATGTCACAGTCATGTTATACCGTTGTAACGCTAAGGCCCAACGAGACAGTTTAGCACCATGAGGGGTGCTTTGGGTCAAGTAGGTGAGGGGATTGTGATCAGACACAATCTGCACTTTGGCACCGAAAATCCATGTGTCAAATTTTTTCAAGGCTTCGATGACACAAAATGCTTCTCGTTCGATGGTTGACCATCGTTGTTGACAGGGCGTTAATTTCTTACTGAAAAATGCTATGGGCATTTCTTTGCCATGTTCGTCGTTTTGAGCTAAACACGCTCCAATTGCGAAAGCAGATGCATCCGTATAGAGTTGAAAGGGCTTGCTGATGTCCGGAGTATGCAGAGATGGCATTTTAATCAACTCTTCTTTAAGTTTGTTGAAAGCTGCTTCTTTTTCAGAGTCCCATGGAATATTATTTGGAACACTCTTCTTTGTAAGGTTTGTTAGAGGTAAAACAATCTCAGAAAAATTTGGGATATAAT